CCCCCCCCCCCCCAACAACATACATGTTTTCACTGTATTTAGATGAATTGGAAAATCCAACTTGAAGAGAACTGGAGGGATGTATCTTCCCCAGTCCTCCCTGTAGTGGCATGACTGATTATCAGTGAGATCATTGTTCCTGCACGTCTGACCTCGCGTTTGACCATGCATGGCATTACTGAAAGATATCAATAAGGTCGGTGTTGTTTAAAATTTAAAAAAAGAAACGGCTGCCATTCATGCAAGTACAAGTAAAAATGGGAAATACCCTCACTACCAGATCATACTAGTTTTTTTCTCAATTTCTCCTTCGATTACTATCCGCAACAGCGCTAGCGAACCTGTCTCTTGACTAATAGCTAATACCTGAAGAAAAGGTAATACGTGTGTCATGTCACGTACCTATAACTCATTTGCTAACATAACAGTCATAAAGCAGCATTCTAAACGTAGCTTTGCGCACTTGACGCTGACTTTATTAATTATTATCCTCAACCACTATGAAGGCAAAAATAAAGGAGGATATAGTGATTTATTTGCACTACAAAGATATAAAATTGTGTCGAAAGCAAACAAGAAATTTCACGGCACCGTATCTTTCCTACAGAAACACAAACGTCAGTTACTATGCTACGTGCAGCCAATTCAGCTAGAAAATATACATGTATGGTTCAAGTTATAAAGTTGAAAAATTACAGATTCAAAGAATTCTTACTCAGAAAACACGTAGTATGAGTAAATTATGTGTACATGAAAGCTTTTAAGCTACAAGTGAATCAACAGAAAATGTTTCTTTGCGAAAAACAAAGACAAGACAGATACAATGCAAAACCACTTCAAAAGTGAAGAACGAATTTGGCATGAATGTTGCTAAATATAAATAGATGACTAAACGGGATTGCGTGAAGTCTGTGTAAGTGATGATAGATGAAAAAACGGGGGGTTCCTGTGAACATGCGAGGGGTGAAATATTCAACATGCCATGAATATAATCCATCGTGCATTTCAGCGTCACAACGATAACATTTACAAATCATTTACACATTAATTGCAAATAAATTATAGCACGGATTCCCATGCATTATGTTGTACAGTTCAGTGGGAAAATATCCAAGTTTAACTACATGTTGAATAACAACAAAGTGTGAGTTACAGGCTGGCCCGAGCTCGACGTTTATGTGATCACTCAGTGCCTTCATCTCACGTAATCAACAGCTGTTGTAAAGACTTTTGAGGTAATTTGGTGCCTTGGTCAGAGACTGTGATGAGTAAGTAGTGGGAATGTCAGAGTGATGCACCTTTGAACGTTTCTGAGATCATAGGATTGATTCTCCATCCACTCTCATTGAGTCAAGACTACACCAAAAGGCGGTTCTCACAGTCGGGAGATTTGAAACGGTGGTTATTGGATGAATGGTCTAGACACTAAGTATTGTCATATTACCTGAGAAATCAGCCATTTGAAACCCTGGGGAATGAGCTCAATATTATGTAATGGACGAAATGCAAGCAATGCAAGTGCAATGCAATGCAATCCAATTAGCCTTTCTCACACCGCCATTTTTGGGGTACTTTTTTGCCAATCCTGCGAGCGTAACACCACGTAACAGCGACATTTTATAATTTTGTGGGTGCATGATGGTAAATTTTCCCTGTAAATAGTTAGTTTGTTCTGAAATATTGCTTTTCACATTGTTATAATCGTTTACGAAAAATTACAGTACCCCAAAAATGGCGGCGTGAGAAAAGCTATTAATTCATTGCAACAATGCACTGCAATGCAATGCAATGCAACTCAATGAATTGCAGTGCAATCATACTATACTGAAACATTAATGCCCATAGTCGCTCAAAACTTACTAGTTTAATAAAACGTCAGTAATAGGACGATGCATTAGCAAAAATTACATAAACCAAAGTGAATCCAACAACTTAATTACTATTTTGCATATAGCGCAACAATTTAGTTGCTTTAGAAAGAGCACGTGCAGCCTCATTTACATTGCGTGCACAGCACAACCTAATTTGCATTTTGTGCGATTATCAGATTCTATTGAATTTTCGGCCAATTATGGAAAATTGTGTTTGCTCGTGCCTTAAATATCAGTTGAACTATTGAAATAATTACAAAAATTACAACGGTCTTTAAACCGTGCTGAGAAGTCAGCAGCAGGCAAGAATCCACACGCGATTTTCACGCTATATTCAAACTTCCTTAACCGAAACACAGACATTACACAGTCAGGAGTACCATGCTCTAACCCTTTTGAACTGATATAATTATTCATCACTCTTGAAAGATTCTAGCTGCCTGGACTGTTTGAGCCAGCGAACAACGCACGAAGTGAATTGTGGCAAAACTTCTCGTGAAATTCGGTTTGAACGCAATCACCAACAAAATTGTGGTCGAAAGAAATGAAGGAACGAGATTATATCGCGGAAAAGTTAGCTGTCCTTAATTCTTGAAACAATGTATGACTCCAGTCACATGATAATACACCTACTGCAATTTCATCGATATATGGTGACGTTTTTGAAGTATTTTCCATTACTTTTTACTATACCTTCCGTTTGTACTGGCTTACGTTCCGTTTGAAAGATAACCAAAATAAGGAAAAATTAAATAAACGAACACTATATTTCTGTGTTATTAGAGAAAAGAGCGTTTGGGTTAATAATATAGACTTGCCACAAGTGGACTTCTCTCATTTGATTTCTTTACCATAATTATCGCAAGCGAGCGATGAAAGTGCCAGAGGAGCTCTGTTGCTCGGTACAGCTTCGTTTTCCCCTCTTCACCAAGCTCAAAGAAGAAAACGGACTTCACTGTGAAGAAATCCATGCTTTTTTGGTTGGTTCACAAAAACGAATGATCATTCCTGGTCGTAAACAGAGACTTACCACTAAGACGGTGGGAAATTTTTTAACTCAACTGCTGTGTTAGGCTAAAAAAACTAGGTGCCTAATGACACTTGTGACGTCATTCGTAAATGCAAAGTAGATACTTATATCATATACTAAACCGCAGAGCCGTAAACAGAGCATATAGATACTCACAGTTGGTCTCAACTCTCAATTACATATGAGGCAAGAAAAACAAACAGCGTATTTAGGAAATAATTACACTTGGCAATCGTTTTGACATTTGTAAACCATTATCAGCATGGTCATTGTCAGGATAAGTGGAGAAGAAAACATTTTATTTATCACAAATATGGATATTTGAATTCCATTGCTTCGAAAAACATGAAGACTACCGATGATGAAGTAAGATGAATAGGAATATTGAAATTTATAAACTTGCGGAATTGTGGGATCAAACTATCTGAAAGACAAAACAAGACCGTCGACGTTTATTTCTTTCTCCGAAAATGGAAATACAACATTTGCATTGAAAACGCACTTACATGTAATTTAATATAGTCTGGATTTACTGAATTCCGAAATAATCCTTTAAAACCATGTAAATGCTAACAAGTTGCAGGACGACATCGGAATACGCTTTTATATAGCTTATAGTTTCTTATTTTATTACTCAGATCTTAATCTCGGCCAACCTGCAAACTGTTTAAAATTAGAGCATCATAGAAGGCGCGATGATCGAGGAACTACAGGCTAGATGCACACGCAAACATATTATTTCCTCTAGAGCTGTGGCTACAAATGTTGAAAAAGCCGGCAATATATTAATCAGCAAGATTTTATTCACTATATAATTATATATATAATTCAATATTATTTACAAGAGGAAAGAACCCGGATACGAGATTGTCAATATTAGCCTGCATGCATGCCCTGTATATACGATGAACAATAAACACTGTACTAGTTTTTTGCTCCCTCGATTTTCTTTTCCTCAAAAGTCGCCATGTGTTTGAATTATAGTCATGCATTCGAGAAAGTGGACAATTATTCCAAATATTCATCGCATACTGTGCTTTAATAGACTTTGTCCCACTATACTCAGTACTTATCAGTTTTTGTCATACATACATACATGCATGTATGCAAGCAAATCAAAATTAGCAAATAAAACTTGTCTAGGAAAAATTGTTCACCATACATGCACATGGGCAAGTTAAGTTTTACCGTTAGAGAAATTTATAACCTTGTTCATCTGCACAGGGATTGAAGGTTATATGGTATACAGATACAGAATATAAACTAACCCTACTTAGACTTTACAAACATAGAATATAATAAATTGTCAAACGTATACCTAACCGCAAACCCTTCAATCAAATTTAGGATTTTCCGTTTTGTGGACGTTTTTGATGCTCGCTATCAAATGAAAAGCTGGAACTGGTTCGATTTTTGGTCTTTAACATTACAAAGACGGAATATAATAAATTTTCCAAATGGCCTACCTAACTACAGTATCAAACCTCAAATTTTGAGTTTCCTTCTTTTCTTAGATTTCTTTTTCTCGGCTTCGTCAGCCAGCCTTTTACGAAGATCTTCGCGACGTTTTAATTCTGTATCCTAAACACACGTGAATCGAGTTAGATACATCCAAAAGAAGATTTATTATCGGATTTTGTAATTGAGAATACTTTCTGTAAAATGTGTGCATGGTGCGCCAGCACACACAATTAGCCTTTCTCACGATGACGAATATCCGCCATTTTTGGGTGGCATCTAATTCTCGTTAACCAAATTGCAGACAATTAAAACAATGTGAAAAGCAATTCTTCAAAATAAACTAACCATTTACAAAGCAAATTTACCATCATTCGTCCAAAAAATTATAAAACGTCGTCGCTGTTATGTGGACTTATCTCGCAGACGTCGGCTGAACAGCCACCCAAAAATGGCGGCGTGAGAAAGGCTAATAGACCTTTCCCCTTATGAACAAAATTTTGATCAAGACAAGTCTAGACAAAAATTTCATCACAGCTTGAAAGAGCATCACAGAATTAGTAATATTCCGAAGTTTCGTTGCAAAATGTTGTAAAATGCGGATAATCCCGAGCCGACGGCGCGAAGGTACTAATTCCCCCGGCTATTTACACCCGGGGAAACGAAAGCATTAGCGGAGTCTAAAGTTCATCACATATCGCGGGCGTGGGTGACCAACCGTGGGTGGTCATCCTCACTGATCTCAAATATATGGCGGACTGTCATGAATAACGAAAACTGATTGGTCCAATTTAAAATTTGCATTATAACGACTGCATGACGACAGCGAAATAGCAAACATTTCTTGAAGTATCTAGAGCAGTTGTCACACGATAACTTTTTAAGGATATTCTTACAAATCTCCTAAAAATATCACTTTTAATTACAAAATTATCAATTTCCCAACATATATATTTTAGGTATGTTATTGCTGCCGAGCGTAGCGAGGCAGCACACTATTCTTGACACGCGGTAGTTTCTCCAGAGTCCACTCGACCCAGTCTTTCGCGCGAGTTATGTATTGTCGAGATCGAGATCTTGTGTCTGTCTGTAAAGATGTTTGTCGTAATCCGGGGGGAATAATTAAGTTTCAGGAACGTTTGTTAAATGAGGGGAGCGGTCAAAACATGAAGATTTTCAAGCTTTTAAATACGGATGCAAGACAGCAAGAGATCAAAAATATTCGG